CCCCAAAACCCCAAAACCCCATATCGCAATGATTTTGAAAATTGACGAATAAACTGATTTTAAATATAAATATAGTGGGATGATGAACTATAATTAGGATTCTGATATTAAATCATCAGACATAATCCGAACTCAAATAAGCTTGTAACTGGAATTTCTCATCTTATAATTAAATATTTATTACATTTTTAGGAATCGATTCCATTGCTTAATGTCTAATTAAATACCACAATCATCACTAATGACATGCTTTGTTATTATGATGTTTACTCTGATAAGAATATCTTTATGTGACACATACTCAAACTCAATGGCTGACTGTGAGAACCTTATATCTAATTTCTACCCAACAATTGACAGTGATGGTTTTCCCACTGATAATCGTGATCAGCCCTACGAAACCATCAGATGCCAGATCAATGGTATCTGTCCTGATGGGGTCTCTAGGTTGTCTTGCACTTGGATGAGATATTTAGAGCTTTAATGCTAGCAAGTTAATAGTGTGACATAAATAGTTGTGATTACAAATAACATGCCTGATCATTGTTACTTCAATGAAAGAGACTAAAATTACCCGACAGCGGCAGCTGATTTTGCAAGACTCCATAAGTATAAATTCTCAGCCAATTTCAATGTCCATCCAAGTGACACTGTGGTGGCTTAAGGGAAAGATGACATATAATTCTGGAACATGACTATCATTAATGACTAGAGCGTCTTGGACTACAATCTTTGCAATTATAATCTATTCAAATCCAGTTTAATCGATTCCTCCATAAGCTACTCTGAGAGTTTATTCACCAGTACATACACTCAGCCCTCCTGGGAATTAGATCAAATTAATTTTCCATCCAATAGACTCACAAACTCAGATAACATTGTAGGCGTAGCACTAAATGGAGTTTTCTTGAGAAACGGTGCAAGTGATTTACAATTTGATGGCTTCTTTCCCAAACTCTACGGGACAAAAAGTCTGTTCAAATACTTCTAAACAGATGTTTGTCTAGGTACTTCAGAGACTTATAATAGCTACTCATATCATATGTATTCACCTTGTATGTACCCTAGTGTGCAAATAAAGACTATTGTTTCCAGTTGTAATAATGAACTATATCCCTTTTGCAAGCTACAGCCTGAAAAGCACATCAAAACCTATACACCATCTTAAGTAAAAACTATGGTGCCTATTGGCATAGCCAGAGATGGAAGAGTAATTTATGGGCCATTTAGATCTGATGGAGACTTATGGCAACCTTGTGATGTCGACATATGTAATGGCCGCTACTTCACAGGTAATTATTATGGCTATGTAGCAACAATGTTTCATCCTTATTTAATTGGATGTTGGGGTCCGGCAAATGCTCCAAACCTGCAACCATCTTGCACTTCTAACCCCAGAGTTTGTTTGCAGTCAAGCTTTTTAGAAGTATACCCAAGTATTTTAATGTTTAGTTCAATTATGCTTCTCATATTATCGGGAAACAGCTTTTGAAAAAATGAGATTTAAGTTGATTAATGAAGGCAATGTAATTTATGAATTAATTACTTTATCGAAAACAGAAAGAATTTAGCATCTCGGGGTTTTGGGGTTTTGGGG